GTGGCAGATGATGGCGGGCGTTTCCGCGGTGGTTGTCTCTGGAGCGAACCAACCGATGGAACTAGTCGTCTGTGGGGAGCTTCGTGACTGATTCACCAAACACCATCCCACCCCCCAACCCCCCCACCCCACTCCTGATAGGTGCTGGGCTGGGCGCCGAGCGTGTCGCTGCGGGAGGGACTGGGGTACACCTACAGCTGGATCAGCGAGCAGGTCGACGCATACGTTGCAGCGGGCAACTCGCTCGAGTCGCTCACCAAGTCTAAGGTGGTTGGGCAGACCATGACCGACAAGTGCGATATGGGCTCCAAGGCGGGCAAGTAGATGGTGCAGCCACGCTCCTGGTGGTGTGTGCCATCCCGTTGGAGGATCATCTGAGGTCTACTTCGAGGGCGGCTGCCCCTATCTCTGTCTGTAGATTATTGTAATCAAACCGAAAGCCGCTACAAGTCGCAAGAGTTTTTTTTGTTGTATGTGTGGCTCTTCCGTACATTCCCGCGTAGGAGGACTCTCTGCACTCTGGACTCTGGTCTCTGCTGACAGGGAATTGCGGTTTCGCGTTTGGGTTTGCGGGGCGGCAGTGGCCAGTGCTGCTGCTGGCGATTTACTGGTAAATGAGAGTGGTATTACCACTTATTTGATTCTCCTAGGGAGTGGTATGGTATGAGTGGAATCATCAATTTTTCGGGATCTGAGCCGGAAAAAACTCTGACATTTTACGAACTCCTTGGCGACGCGCGCCGCGTCGCCAAGGCTCAGCGACCTCGGTCGTACAATCGGCCGGCTGCGCGGGTTTTCGGCGAGTTTCCCGCGCACCGGCCACGACGGACCAACCAGACCAAAAATCGCGACGCTCGCGCGCAAAAATCAGCACGGAATCAACGCTCACGACGCTCTCGATGATCTCGATGATTCGAGGATTTGAGGATGGTGAGGGGTGAGGGTGAGGTGTGCCCCCCCCCTCCCCCCCCGCCCGGCCTCGAACCCGCAGCCAACCGGCCCGAATGCGAACCTCTGACCGCTACGCCAGCCACCAATGCACAAACCTCGACGCCACAAATTTCTGAACCCCATACACCCATGCACTCAGCTCACAATCAGCACCCTATACAGTATGATTCCCGCGCGTCTCGCGCCCCAACTGACAACTCACCATTGTCCCTCGGACACCACTCTCCAGCCGCGCTACTTTCGCCCACCCACCGCTCTCGCATGACATCTCGACAATCCTCATCTCTGGGGGGCCCAAGACTCCTAACCACTTCCCCTGCTCGCCCAGGACCACGAAGCGCCGCCCGCGCGCCCATTACCCCCCAATCAACCCACGCTGTCCCTCAATCGCCACCCGCCAGATGTACTGCCCTCGCCCACCCAATACTCTCACCCTCCTAACCCGGACAGTCCAGGTACAGGAAAAGCGGGGAGCGGGGCCCGATCCAAGGAGCACCCCGTCGGCCCGGGAGGGCTGTGAATTTCAGCGCGGGCGGAAGGCTGCCTGCAGACGCTCAGCCCCTGGCTGAGCTGCCGAATCCTCCCGGCTAATCCCCTGACCTGCCGCCTGAAACGGGACAACATTACACCACCTCACACACACTCCCCCCTCAGGGCTAAGCAGTGCGCAAGTCCACCCGAACTCTAGGCGAGGCGTCGACCACTCCTTCGGAATAGCTCTGTCAGTGGCTGCACTAGACGCCCAGTGATGGCGCGCGGCGCGGGCGGATGACTGGAAGAGGAAATGCGGAGATGCTAGCTCGCAGGTAGATGTGCTCAGCCAAGGGTCGGGGATGAGGGGAATGTGTCAGTGTGAGGGGTGCACCAACCGCAGAGCGTTGTGTTTTGCCTTTGAAAACTGAACAGTTTTTTTTTCGGGATCTGAGCCGAGTCTGAGGCTGGTTTGCGGCCCGCAAATTCAGCCAAATTGGCAAAATACCGGGTATTTTGCGGGTATACCTGGGAAATACCGGGTATTTTTCCGATTTTTCCGATTTTTGTCAGATTTTGCCTCAGAAGTCGTGGTAAATCTTACCACCATTTGATTGTTTTGGCCGTAAGAGTGTTTGATTGTTCTCGTGGGGGGCCGCTATACCAGTAAATCGCCAGCACTGTGCGGGGGGGAGATGTCCGATGAGGAGCGCGACCCGAAAGCCGAATGTTTTACTCACATCTCCTGTGGGTTTTCTGTAGAATATTTTAAACCAAAACAGAAAGCCGACTTGTTTACATCTAGAAAGTGATTTTTCGACACTGAAAACTTGAATTGCGTGTCCCGCCGATGATAGAGCTTCTGCGTTGAACGCTGGGGGAAGAATTATAATTCCTATGTCTGCAAAAAGGATCCGCTGCATAGCGGGTCAGCAAGCCCTAAAACGGCGGGAGGGGTAGGGCTATATCGGAAGAGCTAGAGGGCTCAGCCACCCCTCCACCCCTCCCGCCCTGCACCCCTCCAGCCTCCACCCTCCCGGAGCGAGAGAGATCCGTCCTCGAGCCCTCCCACTTCCACCCCTCCGACCCCGGAGGGCTCGCCAGCCCACAGGGCTGGAGAGGTCCCCGTCGGATCGGCGTCGGGAGGGCTCCACAGGGCTAGCCGACAGCGGGGCCGTGCCGCGGGTGCCTACTGCCGAGTGCCACAAACACTGCGCCGTCCCGTCATCACCTACAGGCTGTCTTGTGTGATGGTTGGGATGTCCAAACGCCACCATCTTGGCTCTTGCGACCTCAAACCCGCGAGCTGTATGGGTGGTCCTGACGTCGACAGACGCCCGAGGACCACGGTGAAGCTGAGCCGGAACGCGTCGACAGGTCTCGTCTGAGCCCGTGGCGGTCGCCGGCTGAGTCGCTGTGCACGGACCGGTACCTCAGGCGTCACCTCCGCAGCCTCAGGTCTCACACTCCATCACCTCCGACGGGACGCCGTCGGTGGCACGCTCGGCGGCGAGTTTGTGTCCGCTACATCTCGAGTACGGCGTCGAGCCTACCCACTCCAGTTGGTTCTGCACACTCGGTGGGGTCCACCGAGTGTGCAGAACGCGCGAGCGGTGCGTCCCGGCAGCCCGCGCTGGCTGCGGAGCGCACAAACTCGAGACACGCTTTTTTGGGACATTTTCGACGCTTTTGTCCCACTCTCTCTCTCTCAGCGGGAGATGCGCGCCAGTGGCTGTCCGAATCGGCCCGTCCGCCGCGTCGTTCACCGCCATCCCCGGCCGGCACCCGGTCTGCCGCGCGAAGCACAAGTAGGCGTTCATGATGAAGGCCACGTTCACCTCGAACGGCTCCAGCAGCTGCGTGTCCTGCATCTGGTACTCTCCCACCTGGAAGAGGTGCTGCTTCGTGCACGGCTTCGTCGTCGCCTCGCGCAGCTCGGCCATCGTCCGCCGGCTCGCCACCGCGCTCGCCCTCTCGCTCGCCGCCCGCTGCGCCGCCTCACTCTGCCCGTGCGACGCGCTCTCCCGCGCCGCCTCGCGGCCCGCCGCCCGGCCGGCGGCTCCTGCCGCGTCCTTCATCCCGCCGCCGCCGCCGTCGTACAGCGACATCACCTGCTTGGTCACCAGCCGCCAGTACTGCCTCGCGTCGTCCGGCATCGCCGGCCAGATCTCGCGCCACACGTGGTTCTTCATGTGCTGCAGCGCGACGTAGATCGTGTTCTCGCCGCGACCCATGCGCACCGTCGGCTCCTCCTCCCGCGCATCGCCCCGCTCGGTCGCGTGCCACCGGCTCGCCCTCGGCGCGATGATTCGCGTCGTCGCCAGCCACTTGCCGAAGCGGATCGTCCACCGCACCGTCGGGTGCAGACCGAGGGCCGTCCGCTGCATCGGCACGCTCTTCCCCGCCGCGGCCTGCGTCGCCAGGAACTCGCGCAGCCGCAGGCGCACGCGCCGAAGCTGCACCGACAGCGCCGGCCCGTGGGGCGCTAGCATCGGCTGCTCATCGCCACGCGCAGCCTCGTCCTGCCGCTCGTCATCCTCCGCCTCGAGGACGTCCGCCAGCGCGCTGCGCCGCACACCCCGGCGCGCGGGAGGCGGCGCCGGCCGCACCTCGGCCGCCTCGGCGTCGCCCACGGCACGGGCGCCCTGCTCGCCGTCCGCGCGGTCCATCGCCGCATCCCCATCCCCGTCTGCGGCAGCGCCGCCTGCGCCCGCGCCGGCCTGCTCTGGGACGGCGCGCCACCGCTCGTCGTCCAGCATGTGCCACCACCGCCGATCCGAGTAGCCGTCGTACTCGACCTGGTGTGCACGATCCGTCCGTCCGCGTCCTCCTCCCGCGCCATGACGGTCGCAGGGTACCACCGCTCACTGTCGCAGAAGATCTCGAGGCGGGATCCGGTGGGCAGGACAGTGTGGCCGTCGAGCGCCGCCCTGGCTTCCTCGCGCTGTCGCTTCCGCCTTCGTCTCCTTGCTGCGCAGCAGGGTGTAGTTCGGGCCCACCTCCGCCACGCAGTCCAGCACGTGGACGGCGCTCGCCATCTCGACCGCGTCGTCCTCCGGCGGAAGCTCCGCGTCGCCCGCGGCCGCTTCCCGAGCGCGCTCGTCGCGCATCCGCTCGTGGTGGGCCTGCCGACGCGCCACGCCGGCGCCCGTGTGCCTCGCCGCCGCGTCCGGTGACGGCATCGATGCTGTCCGCACGAGCGTGACTCGCCACTCCACGACTTCCACGACCTCCACGACCGCCGAAAAGTTCTCCCACTCGCCCTGCCCCAAACCCAAATCTTTCTACGTCATACATATCCGCCGCGTGACGAACTGCCTCCGTTATAGTAGAGGCGCTCTACAACGTGAAATATCTACAGTAGGCGGAGGGCTCCCAGGGCTTTGTTTGAGGTTTTTTCAGTCAGTTGCAACCATGATGAAGGCAAGGCGTTCAGGGTAGTGAAGAATAAATCACTAACCAGCCTCCGGCGGGGCCCCCCGCTACCATCCAAACCCGAGTACGGTCTACTAATCATGGATAGAGGCCGTCAATACACAACTATAAGTCCACACACATACGACATACACACACACGATGCAACTCTCACGACACACGGGCACCGCAGCTCCCCGGCCCTGGATGTGAGGTTGATGACCGCACTCCAAGTGCTCCAAGTGCCCTTCCCTGCGAACGCGCACCCCCTGGGCTAGGGCTCTCTTGCCCGCAACCCGATCCCGATCATCCGGCCTGCTGGGTGCGCTTCTTAGCTCCCTGGCCCTGGATGTGAGGCTGATAACTGCACTCCAAGTGCTCCAAGTGGGTGAAAACACGGGCATCGCGAACACGGCGGGGGCGCAGAGACCAAACGACGACACGCTGGGCGAACGAACACGGCATGGGCTTCGCTGTCTGTCCCATCTCCTCATCTCTTTCCCACCTAGGCGGGGCGGTGGGCGTGCGCGCGGTGCGGTGCGGTGTGTGTGTGTGTGTGTGTGTGTGTGTGTGTGTGTGTGTGTGTGTGTGTGTGTGTGTGTGTGTGTGTGTGTGTGTGTGTGTGACTGCGACAAGGGACCCCTCCTGTTTCTTATTAACAACGAACGCGCTCTCAAAAACAATTCTCTGAATTCTCTGATTCAATTAGTGTTACACCTTACACTGACTGGTTACTGCACTCGGGCCACGGGGCGTGTAGTGGACAGGAGCTCACACAGGCGTCGGTAGTGGACAGGGCTTAGGGGGGAGTCTGCTCTCGACGAGATGGCGGAGTTGATCCCTCTCACTCTCTCGGTCTAGCTCGCGCACGCATGGCCATGGGGCCCGCGTGACTGCCGGCATGCAACGTGCCTGCGCAAGATATACTGGCCGCCGTGGAGGCGCGGTCCATCTCGTGGTCTCGGACTGAGCGGCTGCGGGAAGTCACCGGGTCGACGCCATCGAGAAGGATAGTGCTCGTCGCGGCGGAGATCGCCCGAAGTAATTAACCTGTGATCTGAGCGAATGCACATTGACATGGTCGGCCTGTCACAGGGTCACGCTGCGTCGTCGTACGCGTCTTGCGAATGGGCCGTCCGAACGAGGCGCTCACGCGTCTGCGCCCGCACGCGGTCACGCGTCTGCGTCGTCTGAAAGAGGCGCTCAAGCCAGATGCCTAAGGCTCAGGAGAGCGCGCGACGTGAGGAGGCGGCTTGCTTCGCCCGTCGTCGCACTCGCTGCAAGCCGTCTCCTGCCATCTCGATGCCGAGGCCGTCGCCAAAGCTAAAGCTCCTACCATGTACAACCATCGGTGATGAGTCGAGTGAATGCGGGGAGGCGTTGGCCCTGCTCGGGTCACACACTTTTGTGGAGGGCGAGGGTACGGGCCACACATCGCGGAGCAGCCCGACGCAGCCAGTTGCTCCTATTGAGGGTTGCAGCGACTCCCTCGAGGGCGATGCGCGAGGGGGGAGCTCGCCTCGACTCTGCACCTCGGAGCTGTAGCAGTTGCCCTGATCGCCGCAGCAGTACGGGTAGCCGTTGCCCTCGTGGCAGTGGGTGTTGGCGCACGTCGCCTCGCACTCGGACTGCTCCAAGCCAGCTGGCGCTGGCGCCGGCGACTGGCCCGCCGGTGCTGGCGCCGGCGGAAAGAGGAGGGAGGGCGGAGAGAGCCCGGTGGTATTAGGATAGGGCCCGCAGGGGACCGCGCAACCCGAAGACGAGACCTGCGCCGCGCTGTTGTAGCAGTTCCCGTTGTCACCGCAGCAGTAAGGGTATCCGTTTGCAGCGTTGCAGTGGGTGTCGGCGCACCTCGCCGCGCATTCGGGCGCCGTAGACGGCGAGGGCGTTGGCATTGTCACAGGCGATGGCGGTGAGGGCGGTGGCGCTCCATCCGAAGGCGGTGGTGCCGACCGCGGTGATGGCGATGGCGGCGGTGCCGATTGCGGCGATGCCGATGGCGGCGGTGAGGACGCAGGCTCTGGCGACGAGTTAGGGTAGGGCCCGCAGGGGACCGCGCAGCCCGAAGACGAGACCTGCGCCGCGCTGTTGTAGCAGTTCCCGTTGTCACCGCAGCAGTAGGGGTATCCGTTTGCAGCGTTGCAGTGGGTGTCGGCGCACCTCGCCGCGCATTCGGGCGCCGACGATGGCGATGGCGGCGGCCATACCAAGGGCGCGGGCGACAGCGGCAGCGGTGGCGGCGGCGGTGACCGTGACGGCGGCGGCGGCGGCGGCGGCGGGGGTACTGATGTCGGTGCTGGGCTCGGCTTTGACGAGGGCGGGGGCGACGACGACATCGAAGGCGGGGGTGGTGCGCCGGTCGGGCCGCAGCCTTGGTGGCAGATGTGAATGTCGGCCCAGCAACTGCTTCCGAAGCCCGGAGATCCGATGGCGCAGTAGTCGGGCAAGCCTTGTCTCGACTCGACGCACACTAAGAGCCCGGCGCAGCATCCTCCGAGGTTGGGTGCGTAGCGGTCCGAACCGGCGATGGAGCAAGCGCCCGGGGGGGCTGCGGAGGGCGGAGGGGCGGTCGAGGGGCTTGGCGATAGCCCGCCAGTCGCCGGGCTCTCGATGCTGGCGAACGTGTCGTACGCGAGCTTCTTCTCCCGCCCGACAGTGAGTAGGCCCCACCACTCCTCATGCATGACGGGGTCGGCGTACGCGTTTGGGTCGGGGTGTTCCCACGAGGGGAGCGTGTCGTGGACTGAGGGGTCGCCGCCGCAAGCGGGGAAGCCGTTCGTGGA